AACCTAGAGGTAACGAGGGCATGGGTGACCGTGGCAAGGGCATCCCGGTCTAGAAAAGGGCGCAACTGGCGCACAAGATGCACCTGTGTGAAGCCCCCCCCCTGGTTACGGCCGTCAGATGGTCCCAAGTTGCGGACCCTATCGGAGGGAGCAAGGGTTTCTCCCCTGATCATTAAAGATGGAACGTCCAGATCCCGGGATCCCGGCATCCACAGCCACTCAGTCTTGGAAGGGTTGAGTCTGAGTCTGTTCCTCCCCATCCAAACCCGCACTGCTTCCAGGCAGTGGGACATCATGGAAAGGGCATCCCTAGGGTGGTCAGGGGTGGAGATGTAAAGCTGGGTATCATCAGCATATTGATGATACCTCACCCCAGAACCACGAATGATCTCACCCAGCGGTTTCATGTAGATGTTAAAGAGCAGAGGGGAGAGAACCGAGCCCTGAGGCACCCCACAAGTGAGACGCCTCTGGGAGGATCCCTGACCCCTTGTCCTGCAGCGAGTTGTCCCATGGTGAGTTGGCTGTTGTTAGTTGGTCGTGGTGAGTTGGCTGTTGCTAGTTGAACGTGGTGACTTGGCCATGGTGAGTTGTCCCATGGCAAGTTGGCCATGGCTAGTTGACCATGGCAAGTTGTTTGTGGTGAGTTGGCTGTTGCTAATTGGCTGTGGTGAGTTGGCTGTTGCTAGTTGACCGTGGTGAGTTGACTGTGATGAGTTGGCTGTTGTTAGTTGGCTGTGGTGAGTTGGCCATGGCAAGTTGACTGTGGTGAGTTGGCTGTTGCTAGTTGGCCATGGTGACTTGGCGGTGGTGAGTTGCCCATGGCTAGTTGCCCATGGCAGGTTGGTCATGGTAAATTGGCGAGTTAGTTGTGGTGAGTTGACTGTGACAAGTTGGCCGTGGTGACTTGGTGACTTGATCATGATGAGTTGGCCATGGCAAATTGGCTATGGTGACTTGGCGAGTTGGTCGTGGTGAGTTGGCTGTGATGAGATGACCATGGCTGGTTGACCATGGCAAGTTGACCATAGCGAGTTGGCTGTGATGAGTTGTCCCATGGCAAGTTGGCCATAGTGAGTTGCCCATGGCAATTTGTCCTGTGGTGAGTTGGCCATGGTGAGTTGTTACAGACCCAACTGCAGAGTTGAACTCATTGCCAAGTGCCCAAAATGAAACCATGTGACTGTGTGTGTGTGTGTGTGTGTGTGTGTGTATACAGGTATTGCAATTCCAGAAACGGGTTGCAAGTAGCTCTGGAGGCACCTGTCATAAATTTGAACAGTCATTAAGCAACTGGTCATAAGTCAAGGACTACCTGTTCTCGCCAAATGCATTGGACTTCAGTTCCCATAATTCCCAAGCAGACTCATCACTTCTAAATGGAGCACAGGTAATCCTGAACATACGACCGTTTGTTTAGTGGCTGAAGTTGCAACACTGCTGAAAAAAATGACAGAGGTGGGTGAAAAAAGGGACCTGCAGCTAGTCCTCACACTTATGACCATTATGACATCCCTATGATGATGGAATTGTAGTTCGGGCACTTAGTAACTTGCATCTATGACAGTTGTAATGTCCTGGGGTCACATCGTCAAAATTTGTGACCTTCCAGCCAACTTCTGACCAGCAAAGTCAGTGGGGGAAGCCAGATTTGCTTAACGACCGTTTGATTCACTTAACAACCCCATCAAAAAGGCTCATAAAATCGGGTGTGACTCACTTAACGACCTCATGGCTTAGTGACAGAAGTGCCAGTCCCAATTGTGGTCATAAGTGGAGGACTACCTCCCGCAAGATGATTTACATGAGGTTGGTCTTGAAGATTGCACAGAAGCTTCACTGGGTCAAAAATGTCACTACAAAAGTTGAATTAAATCTTATTGGGCTGAACTACATGTTATTCCCAATGGGTATTGCCTTGGTTTTTCAGCACAATTCCTAGTTTTATTGTTTTAAAGTCCTAAAAAAGGACTGAGACTAAACTATCCTCAAGCATCTCCTTCTAAGACGATCAGGGGAACTGGAGACTAAAACATGCAGGAAATGGGTAGGTCTAGTTTAATGAAAAAAGGGACGTGGTGGCTCAGTGGCTAAGACGCTGAGCTTGTCGATTGAAAGGTCGGCAGTTCAGCGGTTCGAATCCCTAGTGCCACCGCGTAACGGGGTGAGCTCCCGTGACTTGTCCCAGCTTCTGCCAACCTAGCAGTTTGAAAGCATGTAAAAAATGCGAGTAGAAAAATAGGTACCACCCTTGGTGGGAAGGTAACAGCGTTCCATGCACCTTTGGCGTTTAGTCATGCCGGCCACATGACCACGGAGACGTCTTCGAACAGTGCTGGCTCTTCGGCTTTGAAACGGAGATGAGCACCGTCCTCTAGAGTCGGGAACGACTAGCACATATGTACAAAGGAACCTTTACCTTACCTTTAGTTTAATGAAAAGAAGGACTAGGGGTGATAAGATAGCAGTCTTCCAATATTTTTCAGGGGCTGCCACAAGTCAAGTAGGGGTGAAATGCTCCCGGCTCGGGCAAGTAGGTAGCGATGGCAGCGGGCAGTTCGGAGAACCGGTAGCAAAAATTCCTTCCCCCCCCCCAGCCTCCAGCTTGCTTACCTTAGCTGCTGATCGCAACATCTGCCTTGCTTCGCTTGCTGTAATCCCTGCAATCCATTGCATCAGCAAGCAACTGAATCTCCCTGCCTGCAATCAAGCTCATCGGTGAGCAGCTCTATCTGCCTGCCTGCCTGCTTACCTGCTTGCCTTGTCCCAGTAAGTTTTTTTCCCCTTTGGGATCTTTCAAAAAAATAGTTAATTGGGTTTTTTTTAGTTGTTCCTTTTTTTAGACCTAGCCATTTAAAGTTTAGGAAATTTTAAATTTAGCTGCTTTTATATAAAAATAAAAATAAAATAAAATAAAATAATATTTGTGCAGCTTTCTGAGATTTTGTGTGTTTCTGTAGTGTTTCACTCTAACTACACAAACACACAAAATCTCACAAAGCTGTATGTGGAATTTTGTGTGTGTAAAGTGTGAAAGTTGTTTTTTTGGACTTTTTGTGGCTGTGTGAGGTTCCTGCTTGTTGCAGGGGCCATTTTGGGTCTAGCACAGCTGCTTTTACATTGTGGGTGAGCCAGTTGTGTTGTGTTGTGTGTGTGTAAAGTGTGAAAGTTGGTTTTTTGGGCTTTTTGTGGCTGTGGGAGGTTCCTGCATGTTGCAGCTGCTTTTACCTTGTGGGTGAGCCAGTTGTGTTGTGTTGTGTTTTGTAGGTTAAAAAAGGGCAACGAAGTGACGTCGACTTGGCCACGCCACCTGACCAACAAGCCACGCCCACCCAGTCACCTGACCACCAAGCCCCGCCCACTAATTAAGCCACGCCCACAGAACCGGTAGCGAAAATTTTTAGATTTCACCCCTGGAGTCAAGCCATTCTCCAAAGCACCAGAAGGTAGGACAAGAAGTAACGGGTGGAAACTCATCAAGGAGAGAAGCAACCTAGAACTAAGGAGAAATTTCCTGACAGTGAGAACAATTAACCAGTGGAACTGCTTGCCTCCAGAAGCTGTGAATGCTCCAACACGGGAGGTTTTCAAGAAGAGATTGGACAGACATTTGTCCAGTATTGTGAAGGTTCTCCTGCTTGAGCAGGGAGTTGGACTAGAAGACCTCCAAGGTCCTTTCCAACTCTGTTATTCTTTTCTGTTCTGAAACATCTCAGAAAGTTTGAGTAGAATAATGGAGGGGACCTTGGAGGTCTTCTAGTAGTGCAACCTCCTGCTCAGGTAGGAAACCTTACACCATTTCAGACAAATGTGTGACTTCTGAAGACAAATCATTCCACTGATTAATTGTCCTCACTGTCAGGAAATTTCTCCTTAGTTCTAAGTTGCTTCTCTCCTTGATGAGTTTCCATCCGTTGCTTCTTGTCCTGCCCTCAGGTGCTTTGGAGAATAGCAACAGCACTTAGACTTATATACCTCTTTACAGTGCTTTACAGGCCTCTCTAAGCAGTTTACTGAGTCAGCCTCTTGCCCCCAACAATCTGGGTCCTCATTTTACCCACCTCGGAAGGACGGAAGGCTGAGTCAACCTTGAGCCTGGTGGGATTTGAACTGCCAAATTGCAGGCAGCCGGCAGTCAGCAGAAGTAGCCTGCAATACTGCACTCTAACCACTGCACCACCACGGCTCAATAGGTTGACCCCTTCTTATCTCAAACACTGGAACCCTGCTATCATGTCACCCTAGTCCTTCTCGTCATTAGACTAGACATACCCAATTCCAGCAACCGTTCTTCATATGTTTTAGCCTCCAGCCCCCTAATTAGTGGTGGGAAGCAGCTGGTTTGGCCCGGTTTGGGAGAACCGGTTGTTAAATCGCTGGCTGGCCCCACCCCACCCCTTCCTGGAGTCCCCATTGCACGCCGTTTTGGCTCTCAGATAAGTGTAAGGAGGCCTACTAGGCCCAAAACTGGGTGTGTGGGTGTGGCACTGCCCCCCTGCGGCCCGTTTTTACTCCCAGGAGGCTGCAGAGAGGCCTACTAGGCCCAAAAAGGGGCATGGGGGATGTCGCCCACGCCCCACCCCCCGCAGCCCATTTATGCTCCCAGGGGGGTGCAGGAGGCCGAGTGCTGCCTATCACACCTCCTGGCCACACCCACCATGGCCACGCCCACCCAGCCGGTCATTAGGGCAGAGAACCGGTTGTTAAATGATTTGAATCCCACCACTGCCCCTAATTATCTTCGTTGCTCTTCTCCGCATTCTTCCCAGAGTCTCAACATCTTTTTTTTACATCATGGCGATCAAAATGGGATGCAGGATTCCAAAGGTGGCCTTCCCAAGGCCTTATAAAGTGGGATCTAAAGTTGTTTGCATTCACAAAATGCAAGTAATTCTGTTCTCCAAAGGGGCACCAGCCATCCGTGGTTCTCTGTCTCTAGAAGAATGGCGACCACTTTCTAGAGGAAACCCAGTTACAAAAGTGTCTCTTTTTTGTTTCAGTTGTTACAGGACAGAACGTAGAGGTAATCCAACTTCCGGAAACCGTATCGGTGAAAGCTGGAGAGGACCTCACTCTAAGATGTACATTGACTGGAGGAAATATACCCGGAGGCGTACGGTGGTACAAAGGGCTGGACAGAAACCAGGCCCCCATTTACAGCGATAAACAAGGATCTTCCAACAGGGGGGTCAGGGTCATCCCAGGATCCAACACGGACTTCAGCATCAACATCCGAAACGTCCGTCCTGAAGATGCCGGGACCTACTATTGTGTGAAGTTCAGGGCAGGGAACCCAGAGAGAGAGCTGGCTTCGGGGAAAGGCACTCTGGTCTCCGTGATCGGTAGGTGGCTCCCCCATTTGATTTCTGGGGATGGAGGGAGATGTTCCCAGTCAACCATGAGACACGTGGGAGTAAATCCAATGTTCAAAGTGTCAGTGTATTTCATGACTGGCAGAGACATGGTAACAAGGTCAGCTAATGAATGAGGCTTAGTAACAAGGTCAGCCAATGGAAGCTGAAACAGCAAGGAGCCTGGGCGTGGCTTAGCTCTGGCTCTGAACTCTGAATTGGAACGGAAACTGTTCTCTGCTGTCCTGGCCTGTGTTTGTACCTACTTACAATCTCTCCTCTTTACCATGTTGGAAAACCTGCTTTTGGTATTGTATATATGACTTATGTGTTATTATGTATATGAAGAGAAGTTAATGAATCCTGATGAATCAGTTACCTGTGTGTGCTTCCTGGATGTGATTGCTGCTGCAAACTCTGACACAAAGTTGAGCCTTTCCAACCACAAACCATCTTTATTGTCTCTGTATTGTCTCTGAGGAACATCAACTGATGTCTCTCTCTACTTTCTCCCTCAGCCATGCCATCCCAGCCCGTGGTTCTTGGCCCCACAAGAAGAATCACGGCGGGGTCTCGGGCCTCCTTCAGCTGCTCCACAGGGGGATTTTCCCCCAAGAGATCACGGTCAGCTGGTTGAAAAATGGGAAAAAAATATCAGATGGACAGACCAACATCCTGAATTCTGATGAAAAGCAGAGCATCTCGTACCGAGCGGAGAACACGGTGGAAATCCTGCTGGAGCGAGGAGACGTGAAGTCTCAGCTGACCTGCCAGATCCAACACAGATCGTTGGAGGGTCGTGGTCCTCTCCAGCAGACCTTCGCACTTGGGGATGTCCTAAGAGGTAGGTGAACCTTGGGTTGCAGAGAGGGACGAGGCAAACGAGTCTAGACCTGGTAAAAGGCACCTCCATGGCAGTGGGAATGGCACCAGGAAGACCCAGGTTCTTGTCCCATGGAATTCCGCTGAGACCAAGCCCACTTTCTCAACCCATCCTACCTCACAGGGCTGTGGTTATATGGGGAGCAGGTCTTTAGAAAGACCTTCCACCTCTGGCTCTTTCCCCAGGGACTTGGGTCAAGTTGAGTGGGCAAGATATCTTTTAAACCTGATTAGTCCAGAATTGTTTCACTTGGCTTTAGTGGTGTACATTTGTTGTGGCCTGTCGGCCGCCGACCCCTCCAGCAGCCGAATCAGAGGAGGAGGAGGATTAATGCGAGAGAGAGAGAGAGAGAGAGACAGAGAGAGAGAGAGAGAGAGAGAGACCGTCCATCAGCCCTCAGATGGAGAGTCAACAGCCCCCAGATCTGGAGGTGGCTGATGAGGAACAGGAGGAGCAGCTGGGTCCAGTGTCTGATGCGCAGATGCACAGAAGGCAGAGGAGAGGAGAGCAGTGGAAATCTATGGGCCGGTCCTTGGGACGGAAGAGCCACTGCTGCTAGCGAAGTCCCACCCTAGCTCTGGGGATAAAAGGCGGCGGGGGGGGGGCGGAGATGAATAAGTGTAGCAGACAATTATTCATCTTTCGGCCAGCCGGACCTGTTAGCCTGCGGTGAGAGAGAAACTTTGAGAACTCAAAGATTCCTGAGAGGAATCTTTGAGTTCACTTCAGAGCAGTGGTGAAATTTAAAAAATTTACCGTACCGGTTCTGTGGGTGTGGCTTGTTGGGGGGGAGGTCATGTGACTGGGTGGGCGTGGCCAACTCAACATCACTCACATCGAGGGGCTCCTCACCGGCCCCTCCCCTCCCAGCCACTCCTTGTCGCGAATGGCAGGAAAATGGGGAGGGAAATATTCCTGCCTACCATCCTTCCCTCAGTCTGTGCTGAGATTGAGGAATGGATGACAGGCAGGAAAATCCCTTCCCCATTTTCCTGCCTTTCACGAAAACAGCTTCATTCCAGCTACCCCCCCCCACTCCCTCCTGGGGATTATCTTAAAGGGACAGGCTGCAGCAGCTCCGTTCTGAATGGAAGGAGAAAAGTTAGCATTCTCTCTGCTGCATTTAACATTGAATTTTGTGGAATATCGAGCAGCCGGAAGAGGTGAGCGGCGACCGGCTGGCCGTGGGTGGGACCAACGAGTGGGTGATTATTACTGGTTTGGCGAACCAATGCCAATAATCCTTAGCGGTTCCCCCGAACCGGTCCGAACCTGTCGGATTTCACCCCTGCTTCAGAGAGTTTGTCATGGGTCAGAATAATTTTGTTTTTCCTTTCTATTTTTGCTCAGTGATTTTGCATGCTGCCTAAAGTCCAATTATTTGAGTTGGATGGCCAAATACATGCATTCCTTAACTTACAACCAGTCATTCAGTGACTGTTCAAAGTTACAACAGCACTGGAAAAAGTGAATTATGACCGTTTTCCGCACTGGCAGCATCCCCTTGGTCACATGATCAAAATTCAGACGCTTGGCAACTGGCATGTACTTATGACAGTTGCAGTGTCCCGGGGTCACACAATCCCCTTTTGCGATCTTCTGACAAGCAAAATCAAGGAGGAAGAAGCCAGATTCACTTCACGACTGTGTTACTAATTTAACAAATGCAGGGATTGGCTTAACGACTTGTGGCAAGAAATTTGTAAAAAGGGGAGCAAAACTCATTTAACCATGTCTCGCTCAGCCATGGAAACTTTGAACTCAATTGTGGTCATAAGTGGAGGACTATATGTCCTAGAAAGAAGGCATGTGAGAAGTCGACATCCAAAGGAATGGCAGGACAAAAACCTATTTAGGAGTGAAGAATGATGTAGAATTAGGAGTTATCTAAACAAACGAGGACGAAGATTTGCTGAAAATTGGATGGAGTTCTTTATTTCGTTCTTTGTTCATAGCGCTAAAAGTTTTGATCTTGGGCTTCTTACAAGCCAAGTTCTGGGTTTTTCACACCAGGGTTGTGTTCAGAAAACCTGCTTGTTTCCACAATGTCACAATCGGAGAGAAGAATTAGTTGGTCTTCTCTCTTCTTCTGCATGCAAGAACCAGAAGTCTATTATTATTATTATTATTATTATTATTATTATTATTATTATTATTATTATTATTACTATTATTACTATTATTATATCTTTATTCATTAAACATGAAACTCAGTCAACTGAACATTCAAAAATGCATCACAAATACCATTGACTGGTGCTGCTGCTTCTTCTCCTTCTCTTTCTCCTCCTCCTCCTCCTCCTCCTCCTCCTCCTTCTCCTCCTCCTCCTTCTCCTTCTCCTTCTCCTCCTTCCCCTTCTCCTTCTCATTATTATTATTATTTATTGGTTAATCTTTAGTGAGATTCACAGCCTTTGAGACTGGTTAATAGCTCAGCAGCTCGAGTCCTAACCAAGGACCTAGGAACTGTTAAGGTATCGTCGGAGGATGTAAGCTGTTCCGAGTAAGGTGGTTTTTTGTAGAGTCAAAATGTTCAAGTCCGGCAAATTTAGAATTTCTAAATAGCGGGGTAGCCCTTTGAAACTCAGTCAACTGAACGTTCAAAAATGCATCACAAATACCATTGACTGGTGCTAATGGTCGATACGGGTTGCTGCCAGCGTCCCAGGTATCAACCAAGTACCTTCTTAAGATGTACGATGTTCCGAGTAGCGCAGTTTTTTGCAGTTCCACTGGTGTTATTGCAGGAAGCTGCAATTTGCTGATGTACCTTATAAAATTCTTGGACATGGTACCAAGTGCCGCGATGACAATGGGTATCACTGTTACATTATTATTGGTTAATCTTTGGTGAGATTCACAGCCTTTGAGGCTGGTTAATAGCTCAGCAGCTCGAGTCCTAACCAAGGACCTAGGAACTGTTAAGGTATCGTCGGAGGATGTAAGCTGTTCCGAGTAAGGTGGTTTTTTGTAGAGTCAAAATGTTCAAGTCCGGTAAATTTAGAATTTCTAAATAGCGAGGTAGCCCTTTGGCTACCTCACCTTATTATTATTAAAAAATCAATATCTACATAAACAGTGTGTTGTCTGGGCACAATTAATTTTGAGAAATAGTAATAATGTTAATAACAATAATATTCATAACATTAATAATGATCACATAATAATCATAGTATTTCCTTATCCATTTTAATAAACCTTCCTTACATAGCCAATCATTCTTTCTTGCTTTGAAGCTTCTGACCTCTGTTTCTGTAAGTTAGCCATTGATAAAACAAATCCCATGTTAAAAAGTATTCAGTTTCTTCCTTCTCCTTAATTCTGAGTGTTAGCCTATCCATTTCTTTTCTTACATTTCTAGTATTCTAGTATTATTCTAGTATTTCTTTTCTTACATTTTCATCTGTAGGGATCTCTGTTTCTCCACTGTTGTGCAAACACAATTCTAGCTGCTGTTAACACGTGTCAGATTAAATCTGTATTCCCTTTTTTATTATATTTTCCTGGCAAGAAAAAGAAGAATATTTCCGGTTTTAAATCTATATGTTGCGTTAGATTTTTTTCTAACGACGTGTGTATTTTTGTCCTCTTTTTTTTGCCTTTGGGCATGTCCACCACATATGATAATACCGTGTTTCCTTGAAAATAAGACTCTGTCTTATTTTTTATTTTTTTTTGAACCCTGAAATAAGTGCTTGGCCTTATTTTCAGGGAGATTTTATTATTTTGGGGCGCGTGGAGCAAGACGGGGTTCCTCTTGCCGTCTTACCAGATTTCCAGCTCTGTCTCCCTAACCCTAACCAGAGGAAATGGTAGGGATCGGCTGCACATTTTAACTTTTTAAACTTTTGTATGGGATATTGTTGCATTGTTTTATTCTCTGTTGTAAGCCGCCCAGAATCCCTTGGGAGTGGGGCGGCATAGAAATGCGACAAAATAAATAAATGAATAATAAATGTGTTTAAATATTTTTAGGGAGGGCTTATTTGGGGGGTGGTATTTTCGGGGGGGGGGGGCTTATTTTAGTCTACGTGCTCAAAAGCCCGATTGGGCTTATTATCCGGGGAGGTCTTATTTTTGGGAAAACATGGTATGAACCCAGTTCTGATTACATTTCCATCATTTAGCGGACATGTCCTTAAACATCTTTGCCAGTCTAGGAACGAGGAGTCTGAAGATCTTTTGACTGACCTCTTTGGCTTTCTTTGCTCAGTTCCTCCCAAGGTGCGTCTTGAAATCACCCCACCTTCTCCTGTCCAGCTGAACGCCTCAGTGACGGTCACTTGCAACGCAGAAAGCTTTTATCCAGAGGACGCAAAAGTGGAGTTGTTTTCCAAGGATGCCCAAGCCAGAAAAGGAAAGCTTGGCGTGAAGACCTCGAATCCAGACGGGACTTTTTCCCTCAAGAGCAACCTAGAGATGATGGCCAACGAAGACAAGAACTCCTCCATGTTCCTTTGCCAGGTCCAGCATGATTCCCAGCCTCTGGTCAACGAAACTGCTACACTCTTGATCAGGATGCAATTTGACAACAGAAATCCGGACGACGATCCAAGAAGTAAGTATGGGCTTTGAGGTTGGTTCTTCAGAGGTTTTGTTATACGGTCCACCTCGTTTCCTGTTCATGTCTCCTTTGGTCTTTCTTCATTTAAGGACAACATGGACCTCCAGATTGTTCTCAAATATTTGAGTGAAGGGACTGTTGTTCCAAGATTCAGCCCGGGGACCAGGTGGGGAAGTTCTAGAACCAGAGCAGGCAGTCCTCCCTTGGCCCAACTGAGTGTAGAGAGCCTCGGAGATGACCCTGAAGAAACGATGTGACAACTCTTAGCAAAACAGGAAAAAAAGCAGTAGCTAGAGGGCTTCTCCTTATACTTTCTGGAAAGTAACAGGGAGGGAGAAGAAACGTTCTCGAGCCTTCAAGATGGATGGTAGACTTGATGGTCAATCATCTCAGGAAGAAGACTCTACAAGTAATATGGACCTGTTGAGATAGCTCATTTTCTTTGTTGAGATAGCTCATTTTAACCCATGGATGGCATCATAGTTGGAGATGCTACAGGCCAGGGTCTCCAACCTTGGGAAGTTTAAGACTCGTAGAAACTTCCCAAGGTTGGAGATCCTTCTATAGACCTGTGCTCCTTAACCCGGGCAACTTTTAAGAAATGTGGACTTCAACTCCCAGAATTCCCTGGCCAGCTGTTTGGAGAATTCTGGGAATTGAAATCCACAAGTCTTAAACTTCCCAAGGTTGGAGATCCTCCTCCTCCTCCCTGCAAGCCCCATTCCCTTCTAGCACTGATGATATTATATAGTTGGGTCACGAAACGTCTGCAAGAAAACAAGTAAGCTCAAAGAGCACCAAGGATCCCACATTCCTCCTCCTCCTCCTCCAACCCCCACTGCCTTCTAGCACTGGTGATAAACTGACAGCAAACAGCATTCCTTACTAGCACTGATGACATTATATAGTTGGGTCATGAAATGTCTACAAGAAAACCACCAAGCTCAGAGAACACCAAGGACCCCTCATGTCAACCTGGAGCTACAAATATTCTCCTTTAATGATAAATATATTCTGTGAATATAGTATATTGAAGGGACACGGTGGCTCAGTGTTTAAGACACTGAGCTTATCAATCGAAAGGTCGGCAGTTCAGCGGTTCGAATCCCTAGTGCTGTGTAATGGGGTGAGCTTCCTGTCAAGTTTCGAGGTCGTCTCAAATAAATTGCATTTCAAACAAAGTCTTTGAAGAAAAACTCCTATTTATTAAGCACGACATTCTAAACCCGACTCCAATTGAAGCCAACACAGACTTCCAGCCCCAAAACCCTCCCTTTCCGTTCCCCACTCCCCTGCACTCATTGGCCATCTTCCAAGTCATTCTACCCCTAATCTACTCCAGCTCAAAGGAATTTCCCCCCTCCCATCCCATCTCCTAGGGGATATTGTCTCCAGGGAAAATAAGTAGGTGAAAAGTCAAACGTCCCTTTCCAGACGCCTCCACTTCTCCTTTTTATGTCAGCTCTAGAGTAAATGCAGGTTGAAGTGCTGACACTTCCATTACTTGTCCCGGCTTCTGCCAACCTAGCAGTTCGAAAGCAGGTAAAAAATGCAAGTAGAAAAATAGGGACCACCTTTGGGGGGGAAGGTATCAGCGTTCCATGCGTCTTTGGCATTGAGTCATGCCATCCACATGACCACGGAGACGTCTTCGGACAGCGCTGGCTCTTCGGCTTTGAAACGGAGATGAGCACTGCCCCCTAGAGTTGGGAACGATTAGCACGTATGTGCGAGGGGAACCTTTACCTTTACCTTTATATTCTGTGAACTGCCATGGAGGTGTCATCTTAACCCTCTTCCTGCCTCCCAGACATTCTAAGCTCTGCTGCCTCTTTGCCCTCCGGGAAGCAGCCCCTCCCTCCTCGGAATCCAGACTACATTCCACCACATTAGAGAAGGCTTTCATTCCACTGAAGGTCTTTGACGTTTTCTCTTGTTTTAATTTGCGAGCTGCCCAGAGTCGTGATAGACTGGGACCATCGATATATATTTCAACAAATGCACTCCCTAAATAGATGCCGAAGGACTCAAAGGGCAGTTCAAGGAACCCACCCTAACTCATGCCATCTTTCTGCAGACGATAAAACAACCATGATTATCATTGCGGTCGTGGTGTGTTCCCTCCTGGTTGTGTTGGTGATTGCGGTTATCTACCTCATCCAAGCAAGACACAGCAAAGGTAAATATACACGTTCACTGGTCTTTGTGGTTTGAGGGCCTGGTCAGAAAGTTGGCCATCCTGTGGTCATCACCCTTGAGATTGATGGATGCACTGTAGGCTCCTTGTGGGGAGGAGGTCTTCGTGTGGTGTGTCTAAAACTGTTGTCGTGATTTCTAGGGTTAGTTTTCCCGATGTGATGCATGTTGGGAAGGGAGGGAGAGAGGGAGGATGGATGTATCCCTCTGTTAATCCCTCTGCTACATGGGGCTCCCCTTGGGGCGCACCCGGAGGCTCCAACTGGTGCAGAATGCGGCCGCGCAGGGGATTATGGGAGCGACGGGGCGCTCCCATGTGACTCCTCTCCTGCGCGAGCTGCATTGGCTTCCGGTGGACTTCCGGGTGCGCTTCAAGGTGTTGGTGATCACCTTTAAAGCGCTCCATGGCTTAGGGCCAGGGTACTTACGGGACCGTCTTCCGCCACCAATTGCCTCCCACCGGCCAGTTCGCTCCCACAGAGAGGGCCTCCTCAGGGTGCTGTCGGCCAGACAATGCCGGCTGGCGACCCCCAGGGGGAGAGCCTTCTCTGTGGTGGCACCTACCCTCTGGAACGATCTACCCCCAGAGATACGAGTGATCCCAGACCTCCGGACTTTTCGTCGGGCCCTTAAAACCTATTTTTTTCAGGTAGCCGGGCTGTCCTGATTTTATGGTTAGTTTTTAGAATTGATATTGATTTTAATTGAAATGTTTTAAATTATGGGCCAAACTTCATTTAATTATTTTAAATCTATTTTAACTTTTATGTACAAATGTTTTATTTTGGCTGTTCACCGCCCTGAGTCCGAAAGGAGAAGGGCGGTATAGAAATCTGAAAAATAAATAAATAAATAAATAAAATAATGCAGTTTAGGATTGCATTGGCTTTTTTGGCTGCCGCCGCACACAGCTGCCTCCTATTTAACTGATTGTCCACTAAGACTCCAAGATCCCCCTCACAGTTCCTGCTATTAAGGAGCACACTTTCACTGACAATCACCATTGTGGTAATAAATCTGTAGCACCTTAAGCAGAAAGCTGATGGATGGACTAAGGCGGCTCATTTTCTCAACATGACTGGCATTGCAGGGCATCAAGCTGTTCAGGATTCATCTGCCTGGCAGCCTTCGTTGTAATTTATTTAGCCTCAGAGTTTAGCCGTCAGCATTCTGATGCTGCCATAAAAAGGAGGAGACGAGGCTTGACTTTTCACCTACTTATTTTCTCTGTAGATAATATCCCCTAGGAGATGGGATGGGAGGGGGACATTCCTGTGGATTGAGGTCAGAAGCTGGGGAGACTGGCTTGGAAGATGGCCAATGAGAAGATGAGAATTGGGGAACAGAAAGGGAAGGGTTTGGGGGGTCAGAGGGTTAGTATCGGCTACGACGAAGTCGGGGCCAGATCTGTCGTACTCAATAAATGGAATACTTCAGCAAAGATTAATTGTTTGGGAGTGCAATTTATTTGAGATGACATCAAAACCTGACATTAGCCTGTCTTGGCTGGCAGCCAAATTTGTTACACGGGAGCTTCTGGAAAATGTTATACTAATAACAGGGGCTGGACTAGAAGACCTCCGAGGTCCCCTCCAGCTCTATTCCGATTCTTTGATTCAAATAGTTCCCGTCGTACAACAGCTCATTTAGTGTCTGTTCAAAGTTACGACGGCACTGAAAAACAATGTCTCGGGATCGATTTTCACACCGTTGCAGCATCTCCTGTGGTCACATGATCAAAATTTGAGATGCTTGGCAACTGGCATGTACTTATGACAGTTGCAGTGTCCCCGGAGTCATGTAGGTCAGGGGTGGGTTCTACTTACCTTTACTACCGGTTCGCAGCGGGAGCCGCTCGCGCAGAAGTTTCTGCACATGCTCAGAAGCGTTTTGATGATGTCAAGGTCGGTGGGCGGAGCTTCCCGCCGGTTTTACTACCGGTTCTATAGAACCGGTGCGAACCGGGGGCAACCCACCACTGAGGTAGGTCCCCTTTGGCGGCCTTCTGACAAGCAGAGTCCGCGAGGAAGCCAGAATCAGTTAACAACCATGTGACTAATTTAACGACTGCAGCCGTTCACTTAACAACCGTGGCAAGGAAGGTCGTAAAATGGGGCAAAATTCACTTCACAGCAACAGAAATTGGGGGTGCCGTTGTGGTCGTAAGTCGAGGACTACCTGTAGTGTCGAGAAATGCTGCTCAGCCCTTGTAAGAATCTTACATTTTGCAGGATATTTTTTGGAAACCTTCAAAATTGATCTTCCAGCTAATGTTTTTTTTTTTTTTCTCCTGCTTTCTTTTAGGTAAAGACTCCACATCTGTAAGGTAAATCTCTTTTTCTCTTTTCATCAAAACAAATGGGTTGATTGTGGGGGGAATTAAATAGCAGCTGTTACAACCTGGTGTACTTCAGGTGCATTGAAGTATAGTTTCCATCAGTCTGAGCCCCCAAGATCCCTAGCTAGCTCCCTGGATGGTACGAAATTGGGCTAACCTTAGGCTAATATTTGGGGTTTAAAACTGGTTTGTTTACAGTGCCTAATTTTGCTTGATGAAAACCATAAATCTGTTTCCTTTGCAATCCGGACATCACTCTGGATTTATTGAAAGCATGGTGGGGCAGACAGGACTCCAGTAAGCTTTCATCCAGCATGCTAACTCAAAATCAAGTTAGCAAGGCATTTGGGGGGGGGGGAATGGGGCATTCACGCCACATGGTGCAAAAGGAGGAGGAGGAGGAAAGTGGAAGGACGTGGCAAAGGAAAGGAGAAGGAGAAGAGGGAGGAAGGAGAAGGAGAAAGAGAAAAGAGGGGAGGAGAAGAAGGAGAAAGAGGAAGGGAGAGAGAAGAAGGGGAGGAAGGAGAAGAAGGGAAGTGGAAGGATGTGGAGAAGGAGAGGAGAAGAAGAGGGAGGGAGGAGAAGGAGAAAGAGAGGAAGAGGAAGAGAAGGAGAAAGAGAGGAGAAGGAGAAAGAGGGAAGGGGAGAAGGAGAAGGAGGAGGAGAAAGAGGAAGAGAGGAGAAGGAGGGAAGAAGGAGAGGGAGGAAGAGAGAAGGAAGGAGAAAAAGGGAAGGAGAAGGATGTGGAGAAGGAGAGGAGGAGGAGAAGGAAGAAGGGGAAGGAGAAAGAGAGGAAGAGAAGGAGAAGGAGGAAGATAGGAGAAGGAGGAAGATGGAAGGGGAGAAGGAGAAAGAGGAGGAGAAAGAGGAAGAGAGGAGGAAGGAGAAGAAGGGAAGTGGAAGGATGTGGAGAAGGAGAGGAGAAGAAGAGGGAGGGTGGAGAAGGAGACAGAAGAAGGGAGAAGGAGAAGGAGAAAGAGAGGAAGAAGAGAAGAGAAGGAGAAGAGGGGGAAGAGAGAAGGAGAAGGAGAAAAAGAGGAGAAGGCGAAAGAGGAAGGGAGAGGGGGAAAGAGGGGAAGAAGGAGAAGGGAGGTGGAAGGACATGGAGAAGGAGAGGAGAAGAAAGAAGAAGGAAAAGGAGAAAAGGAGAGGAAAAGGAGGAGGAGAGGAAGAGGAGCGAGCAAAGAGAAGGAGGAAGGGAAAAGAAAGAAGAGAGGGAAGAAGAAGGAGAAAGTGGGAAGGAGAGGAGAAGGAAAAAAAGAGGAAAGAGGAAGAGAGGAGAAGAGAAAGAAAGGAGAAGGAGAAAGAGACAAAGAGGAGGCAGTGGAAAAGGAGGAAGGAGAGAGAGGGGAAGGAAGGAGAAATGAAGGAGAAGGACAAAGAGAAGGAGAAGCCTATTACAGATTAGCATAATACCCTGAGTCAGACACCATGCTACGATAAAGAACAAACCCCAGACTAAACAGAGGCTTTATCAAGCGTAGAGTGTGAATGTAAAAACTATTATGGAGAGATGAAAAACCTGCGATAAGAAGAGGATTATAAAAAACCGCTTTCCGAGCCTCCCGACTTCAGCCTTCAAGACGACGGGATCAGAAACCATCTCACAGCTTACTAGAGAGCGTTTCAACCGCCTGAGATTTTTTTTTAAAAAAAAAAGCCCAAAAGAATTTGAGCAAAGAGATAAAATAAAGTAAAATCACAGGAAATGCATTTAAGAGCACGGGAGTCTCCCTGATCGTAGAGAGCAAAGCTGCCCAAGTGTTACTTTAATTTTCCTTTATGTAAGGAAGGAAAAAAAAGAATGCCACGTATCTCTTGATTGCTTCTGGATTTAGCCGATAATCACGAAATGTGCCGGACGATAGGAAATTCCATTTAAGCACCCAGACAAACATTAGATTAATTATTCCGCTGTTTGATCGGCCCTCTTAAGAAAGAAGACAAAGGAACTTTATCTTTTTGGTGCTTGAGGAATTCATTTAATGCGCTCCAGGTTTTTTTGAGGGGTAATTGTGTAAATTCGCCGTGTATTTGGAACAAGATAAAAAGTGTTAATTCTCTTTTTCATTTACTGAGCCTTCGATAGGCAGATTTGCCCGAATGGGGAAGACAGGCAGTCCTCAACTTACAACCGTAATGGAGCCTGCCCATTAAGGTCATAAGTCATGACAGTCGTAAAGCAAGTTACCCGTGTGACCGACCTGATTTAATGACTTTGTTACAGCTGCGGGAATTCTGGGAGTTGAAGTCCACCCATCTTAAAGCTTGCTGGCTAGGGAATTCTGGGAGTTGAAGTCCACCTATCTTAAAACTTGCTGGCTAGGGAATTCTGGGAGTTGAAGTCCACCCATCTTAAAACTTGCTGGCTAGGGAATTCTGGGAGTTGAAGTCCTCCCATCTTAAAGATGCCAAGATTGAGTAACAATGCTAGACTTTATTTCTGATGTGAAGTTAAATTTGGGGCAATGTTTAGTCTCTACTTAGCAAATTTTAGGGTGTCGATGCTAAAACCTTTGGAGTAAGATTTAATTTTCCTGAAAGAGGCGAAACCCAGATCCAGTTGGCCCCAAGCCCCTAGGAAACATCTGGCAGAGGGAAATACTCTTTTTTTGCTCGTTCGACAATTTAGATTTAATTCCGAGCCAAAGGGAGAATTGAAACAGCCATAACACCAAAAATCAGTCAGAAATTATCGTGCTCTTAAACTTGCGACGTGTTCATTAAAACTGGCAGAATTGTAATCCAATCACAGCGCAACCGTAATAAAAGCAAATAAACCCAGCAGATATAATAGAAGTAGTCGGAACAATTACAGAATCACAAGAGTAGTGGCTAAAATAACTCAGCTAGGAAAAAGATCTAATATTCCACCTTTTTAAAAAAATGTCTGGTGTAATATTTCTGAAACTTTGCAACTTTAAGAAGAGTGGACTTCAACTCCCAGAATTCCCCAGCCAGCCATGCTGGCTGGGGAATTCTGGGACTTAAAGTCCACACATCTCTAAGTTGGGGAGGCTGAGACAAAGTGGTTTAGATTGTTCTCTATATCTTTGGAAGTTGCATTATGCAACCTAGCCATCTTCCAGAGAAGTTGGAACTACAATTCCCAGAAGCCTCCGCTGCTTTCCCAGAAACTCTAGCTGTATTTCCCAGCCTCCCCAGCTGGTAAAATTCCCCATTCAGCAGGAATTCTCATTAACTGTGTTTTATTCTTTGGGTTGCCCTTTTTAATCATGTGCTGGGTATATTTATGATTGTGTTAACCTTTTGCGATGCCAGATACCTTGAGCGAGAGCAGAGCTGGGATACACTCCTTAAAAAGAAATGATTGCATCCTAACCCATTGGTCCAAACCATAAAGTTTAATTACTTAATTTATGATAGGTGTTTTATTAAGGGCCTGAATATATTTTCCAGGGACCTAGCTCGGTCTATGAATTTATGCCGCTAAAGGCTTTGTAGCAAACACACACATTTACGTATTGATTAATATTAAATCTGCTCCTTGCTTTTTCACATGAATAGCAAAAGGCATAATAAAAGTCAACAAGAAAGGCATCGATAAAAAAATAGATGCAGATTTTTTTTTAAAAAAACAAACTAACAGCCGCAGTCAACTTGAAAACCTAGTTGAGTTAAAATATGGACCTTAATATAAAACAATATGTAATTTTTTTTTCCCATCTCCACATTTCCCATTAACCATATAGCAATCTCTCGAGTTAGGTGGCTCAGAAAAATTGCACAGAAGTTCCTATATGGCTGGTCGAGAGATTTCTGTTGAAAAATGGCTGGAGGAGAACTTAAACCCTGATCTCTGTCCTCGTAAATCAAGGTTAAGGAACCTGTACCATTTATGTATTGCTGAACTGCATTCCCAGCAGTTGCAGCCAAAATGCAAATTATTGAAGTAATGCTGGGAAACGTAGTTTAGCAAGGCTCGGAGGGAGGGACGGATCTTGATAGACTTGAACCCTGGGCCCTATCTAACAAAATGAAATTCAATGTAGAGAAATGTAAAGTCTTAACACTTAGGCAAGAAAAACCCAAAGTAGACACATAAACTGGGTGAAATCAGGCTTAATAGCAGGAACTGTGAGAGGGACCTTGGAGTCTTAGTGGACAACCAGCTAAATAGGAGCCAACAGTGTGCGGTGGCAGCCAAAAAAGCCAATGCAATCCTAAACTGCATTAACGGAGGGATACACTCAAGATCAAGGGAGGTACTGATACCACTCTATTATGCCTTAGTAAGGCCACACCTAGAGTACTGCATCCATTTTTGGTCACCACACTATAAAAAAGATGTTGAGACTCTAGAAAAAGTGTAGAGAAGAGCAACCAGGATGATTAGGGGACTGGAGGCTAAAATATACGATGAACGGTTGCAGGAACTGGGCATGGCTGGTCTAGTGAAGAGAAGGACCAGGGGAGACATGATAGCCTCTTCCAATATTTGAGGGGCTGCCACAGAGAGGAGGAAGGGGGTCAAGCTATTCTCTAAAGCATCTGAAGACCAGGCAAGGAATAATGGATGGAAACTGATCAAGGAGAGATTCAACCTAGAAATAAGGAGGAACTTTCTGACAGTGAGAACAATCAACCCATGGAACAGAAGTTGCCTTCAGAAGTTGTGGGAGCTTCATCCCTGGAGGCTTTCAAGAAGGGACTGGACTGCCATCGGTCAGAAATGGTGTAGGGTCTCCTGCTTGGGCGGGGGGTTGGACTAGATGACCTCTAAGGTCCCTTCCAACTCTGTTAATCTGAGTATGGATTCAGTGGACCATTTCTGCTCTAAATTGATCTAGAAAGAAGGGATGAGGATAAATCCAGTCTTTCCAATGACGATATTCCATAGATTGTGATCGGTTCCTTGGAATCTGAGAATTTGAAGCAATGAGGTGTGGACTTCAACTCCCAGAATTCCCCAGGTGGCCTTGCTCAGAGCTGAAGCTCACTCTTGAAGATGTGTAGACTTCAACTCCCAGAATTCACTTAACGACTGTCTCCACAGAAAGGTTGGGCTCAATTGCGGTCGTAAGTTGAGGGCTACCTGTAAACGTTCCATTTTTGTGCACAGAATACAGGTAGTCCTCAACGTACGACCACAATTGAGCCCAACCTTTCTCATTAAGTGAGACATTTGTTAACTGAGTTTTGCTCCATTTTACGACCTTTCTGGCCCCCGTTGTTAGGTGAATCACGGCAGTTGTTAAGTTAGTAATACGGTTGTTAAGCGAATCTGGTTTTCCCATTGACTTTGCTCGTCAGAAGGTCTCAGAAGTTGATCACATGATCTTAGGACACCATCATAAATATGAGTCAGTCGCCAAGTGCCTCCATTTTGATCAACAGTTGTAAGAGTGAAAAACTGTCAAGGTCACTTTTTTCAGTCCCATTGTAACGTCAGTCACTAAACGAACCATTTTAAGTCAAGGTCTACCTGTATTCTTATTGCTGTCAGCATATATAACATTAAAAGTTCCATTTTTTTTTCCAAGCTCTTTATGCATTAAACCCAAACTAGAACCAATGCTCCTAGTCCTATAACTCAAATCTCCTTTGCAGAAGCCAACAATCACAAATGGAGACCTATACGAAATCTGTGCCACTTTGGATTTATTTTTGTTTAGGTGTTGTTTCTAATTTCGTTTTAAAAAAGGTCACTGTGTGAAATTTGCTGTTGACTCCCTTGGTGATCTGAGTTTTTGGTTCTATCTTTAGGCTCCACGAAGCTGAGAAATCTCCACCGCTGACGAATCAGGTAAGCTGAGCTTTGTTTCTTGAGATGCCGCCTAGAAATAATAATTATAGAGGTCGTCTCTTTGCTGTGAAATAGCTTTAACCAACGGAATGGAACGGAACGGAACGTCCTTTCACAGCATAAATGAGTTGGAAGGGACCTTGGAACAGTGGTGAAATCCAATTTTTTTTTTACTACCGGTTCTGTGGACGTGGCTTGGTGGGCGTGGTGTGGCTTGGTGGGCGTGGCAGGGGAAGGATACTGCAAAATCCCCATTCCCTCCCCACTCCTGGGGGAAGGATATTGCAAAATCCCCATTCCCACCCCACTCTGGGACCAGCCAGAGGTGGCATTTCCCGGTTCTCCGAACTACTCAAAATTTCCGCTACCAGTTCGCCAGAATCTGCTGGATTTCACTCCTGCCTTCGAGGCCTTGTAGTCCAGCCCCGCACTCAAGCAGGAGACCTTATGCCATTTCGGACAAATGGACATCCAGTCTCTTCTTTAAAAGCCTCCAGTGAGTCCCTTGGGAGTTGGGCGGCATAGAAATGCGATAAATTAAATGGAGCACCCACAACTTCTGGAGGCAAGCTGTTCCACTGGTTAATTGTTCTCACTGTTAATGAAATTTCTCCTTTAGTTTTAGATTGACCCAAAGGTACTTTTTCAAGAGGCAGCTGGACTTTCTGGTGCTTCTTGGAAAACGTTTCAAGGAGGAGAAATCCTTCTGTTCCTCAACATCCAGTAGCCAGAACTGAAGAAGCTTCTTTGGATGAGAAGCGAAACGTCTTCCAAGAAAAAGTCCAGCTGCCTCTTGAAAAATGCACCTTTGGGACAACTGTGACCAGGATGACGGAGAATCTCCATTGACATTTAGTTTTAAGTTGCTTCTCTCCTTGATGAGTTTCCATCCGTTGCTTCTTGTCCTGCCTTCAGGTGCTTTGGAGAATAGCTTGACCTCCTCCTCTTCTCTGTCACAGCCACCTCAAATATTGGAAGATGCTGTCACTGTGATGGGGAACCTATGGCACACGTGCCAGAGGTGGCACAGAGAGCCCTCTCTATGGGCACATGCGCCATTGCCAGCTGCTCTTCATGGCCACCAGAAAGCCTGAAAACAGCCTGAAAAACACCCCAAAAATAGGGTGTTTTCTGGGCCGCTTTCAGTCCGTTTTTGGCCTGAATAATGGCCTGAAAACAGCCCAAAAAACAGCCAAAAAGCAGGCATGTGCGTGCCAGCCAGCTGATTTTTGGGTTTCCTGCACTCCAGCGTATGCACATGTACATGAGTTCCGGTTTGGGCATTCAGTGCTAAAAAAGGTTCATGATCACTGTGCTATCACGTCATCCACTCGTCCTTCTTTTCACTATTTATTTTTTTATTTTAATTTTATTTCTATACCGCCCTTCTCCCGAAGGACTCAGGGCGGTGTACAGCCAATTTAAAAACACAGGACACAACAATGATTAAAAATTAAAATAATTAAATAGATTTGGCCGATTTAAAACCCCAAAAATTAAAATACCCCAATTTAAAATTATTATGTTGATAGCCCGGCCTGGCGGAACAACAGGGTCTTCAGTGCGCAGCGAAACACCCGGAGGTCGGAGATCTTACGTATTTCCGGGGGCAGTTCATTCCACAGGGCTGGGGCTCCCACAGAGAAGGCCCTCCCCCTGGGTGTCGCCAGCTGACATAACTTGGCCGATGGCACCCTGAGGAGACCCTCTCTGTGGGAACGGACTGGTCGGTGGGAGGCTATTGGTGGCAGAAGACGGTCTCGAAGGTACCCGGGTCCTATGCCATGGAGGGCTTTAAAGGTGGTAACCAACACCTTGAATCGCACCCGGAAGACCACTGGGAGCCAGTGCAGCTCGCGCAGGAGGGGTGTCACGCGGGCACAACGAGTTGCGCCCATAACCACCCGCGCGGCCGCATTTTGGACCAGTTGGAGCCTCCGAGTGCTCTTCAAGGGGAGCCCCATGTAGAGAGCATTACAATAGTCCAGCCGGGAGGTGACAAGGGCACGAGTGACCGTGCGCAAGGCGTCCCGGTCCAGAAAGGGCTGCAATTGGCGGATCAGGCGAACCTGATAAAAGGCCCCCCTGGCCACGGCCGTCATATGCTCTAGATTAGACCTACCAAATTCCTGCAACTATTCTTTGTATGTTTTAACCTCCAGTCCCCTAATCATCTTTATTGCTCTCCTCTGCATGCTTTCTAGAGTCTCAACATCTTTTTATATTGTGGCGACCAAAACTGGATGCAGGATTCCAAGTGTGGCCTTACCAAGGCCTTATTAAAGTGGTATTAACACTTCACGTGATCTTGATTCTCTCCCTCTGTTGATGCAACCAAGGACTGCGTTGGCATTTTTGGCAGCTGCAGTACACATCTGGCTCATACTTAAGTAATTGTCCCTTAGGACTCCGAGATCCCTCTCAAAGACAGTACTGTCGAGCCAGCTAACTTGGAAGAATTATTTCCATCCTAGATTGGTGTAACTTTTTGGCACTTGGAAAGAGAAAGTGTGATCAGCCTAGCCAAATAGGCCATTATCCTGTGATTAATGGTGTTATTTTTTCTGGAGGATCAGTGTATTAAAATAGAAAAAAAAAAAAGCCTCATTATCCTAAGACCATAAATCTTTTCAGTACAGCAGATTTTTCTAAGAGGTAGTTCACATTTTCCTAAGCCTTCTGTCTTGCACTTAAAAAAAAAAAAAAAGTTTTAGATTTTTAAATCAGAAAAGTAAAAACTAAGGAGAACTAATAATTAAGACAGAAAACAGAATAAAGAACGAAGGGGAAAGCAAAGCTAAAAGTGCAGAAAGGAAAAGAAGGGAGAAGAAATATAAAGAAATAACTTCTGACTTTCTTCTACAATTGATAGGGTATAAATTTAAAATAAACTCTTAAGTTTACACTAATAACGTTCATTTTTTTCCATTTATCTACTTTTCCCACTCATCAAATCCATATACAATTATGACCAGAATTTCCGTTGTTAAGCAAAGCGGTTGCTAAGTCAGTCTAAGCAGTGGTGGGTTTCAAATTTTTTTACTCTCGGTTCTGTGGGTGTGGCTTGGTGGGTGTGGCAGGGGAAGGATACTGTAAAATCTCCCTTCCCACCCCACTCCAGGGGAAGGATACTGCAAAATCCCCATTTCCTCCCGATCAGCTGGGACTCGGGAGGCAGAGAATAGATGGGGGCGGGGCCTGTCAGAATTTTTACTACCGGTTCTCCGAACTACTCAAAATTTCCGCTACCGGTTCTCCAGAACTGGTCAGAACCTGCTGAAACCCACCTCTGAGTCTAAGCCAGTTTTACAACCTTTGTAGCCACTGTTGTTAAGTGAATCGCTATAGTTGTTAAGTGAATCACATGGCCATTAAGCAGATCCAGCTTCTCCGTGCTTGTCGGAAGCCCCCTGGAAGGGGTCCCAAATGGCAATCGCGTGACCCTGGGATGCTGCAACTGTTGTAACTGCATGTTGATCACCAAGTCACCTGAATTTTGATCACGTGACTGTAGGGAACGCAGCGACGGTCGTAAGTCCGAGGACCGGTTGTAAGTCACCTTTTTCAGTGTTTTTATAACGTCAAACGGTCACGAAACGAATGGTTGTAAGTCGAGGACTTAACAGAATAACAGAGTTGGATGGGTCCTTGGAGGTCATCTAGTCCAACCCCCTGCTCAACCAGGAGACGCTATATCATTTTAGACAAAATGGCTGTCCAATCTCTTCTTAAAAGCCTCCAGTGATGAAGCACCCACAACTTCTGAAGGCAACTTCTGTTCCACTGGTTAATTGTCCTCACTGTCTGGAAATTTCTCCTCATTTTAAGATTGGATCCCTCCTTAATAACAGAGTCGGAAGGGACCTTGAAGGTCATCTAGTCCACCGCCCCCACTCAAGCAGGAGACCCTACACCATTTCTGACAGATGGCAGTCCAGTCTCTTCTTGAAAGCTTCCAGTGGTGAAGCTCCCACAACTTCTGAAAGCAAGTTGTTCCAGCGATTAATTGTTCTAATTATCAGGAAATTTCTCCTCAGTTTTAGGTTGCTTCTCTCCTTGATTAGTTTCCATCTGTTGCTTCTTGTCACGTTTCCGACGAGGAAAAAAAAAATCACATTTTTCTGTTTCACGTGGACAGTCCAAAAGAGGTTTTTAAACCAGCAATAAAAATTAAATCAGTGTCTTTGGGGCTGAGTGCCTCAGAACTGAACTTGAAATATTCTGAAAGCTGTTTTTATTTTATTTATTTTTTTGCTATAAGCTTTCTACTATAGAATTATCATGGCCCTGTTCACCCTCAAAACACTTAATTTAAACACAGCCAGGTGGACTTCGTAACCAAGGAAGGACCAACCCTAACATTATGGGGAAGGAATTAAATTGGTTTAAAGTGTCCCCGGGCTCACATTTGCAGGCCATAATTCAGACCTTTGGCAGTTTGAACCGGCCTAAATGCTGGAAATTGCAACCCTTTTTTAAAAAAAAAATACAGGCTAAATTAAATGTTGTAACCTGCTGATCTTTTCCAAAGTTGTTCTGGAAGGAACTAAATGGACTAAAAATGTAAGGAAATTACTTGCCAAATCAAGCCGTACTAAAAGCTGCAAAAAAATAAAATAAAAATGAAATTATGGGGCTTCTGTCTTAAGTGGAGACAGAGAAGCATTACCTAAATTGGAGGAAACTAATTTTAAAATAGAAGCTTGGGAAAAAACAGCCGTTCCTTTACTTTTACTTTTACTTTTATTTAATTTCTATACCGCCCTACTCCCGAAGGACTGAGGGCGGTGAACAGCCAACAATAAAATACATAAATACAAAATTTAAAAAACAGAAATAAAATCGAATTAAATAATTTGGCCCTCCTTTTAGAGGCAATCCTTGACTTACGAACACAATTGGATCAGTTGCTAAGCAATGTGGTCATTAAATGAGATACACATGATTTTACCAGCTTTTTTTGCCATGGTTATTAATGAAATCACCGCAGTTATTAAGTG